TAATGAACACACATTGTAGTATTATTTATACATTTTCTTTAACTCTTTGTAGTATACAATTTTCTCAATCAGCCCAATTTAAATAAAATTTATAATACTCGAAAGATTTTTTAGATGGCTGATTTCGAATCCAAAATCCAAATTTGTAAATTTAAAAAATTCAAGCGGAAACAGTATGGCGGACAAATTCTAGCAAATCGATACGTAATATAACTGATAAAAAAATAGAATTTATCAATGTAAATTTAAATCAAACATATATTTATTAAGTCATTTACTAAATTCACAATTTTAACTGTACTGACAAGTTATGTTACAAATTACAATAACATATGTGTGATTAATTATATCGCAGACAAAAATGTAACTAATAATATAATTAACTGTATTGCAATGTCTGGAACGTATTAATTTATTAATTATATTACAGGTACTGCAAATGTATCTGATTTATATATGATACACATTGTAATAGATTCTTTAATTCGAACAATCAATAAAATTCAGAGGAGAGCATTAAGATTTTTTATCAAAATATATCATTCATATTTTCTATTGTTCAATTTAACAGCATAGCTATTACTTACACTGTTAAAAATGCCATGAAATTTAATGTACTTTTAAATTACATATGTAACTTTAAATTTAATTTATTTGCAACTGAAAAATATATTTGTGTTATGTGCATAAAATTTAATGTACTTCTCATAAAATTTTATGTGGATGTACAAAAAATTTAATACATATAAACATTAAATTTAAGTTACTTACAATTTCATTTCCATTTAACAACATTAAATGTTTTCAATATACCCACTTGAAATTTACTTCCGTTACGTATAACGGAAACAAAAAATTTCTTTAACAGTGTATCAAGTGACTATGGCTTGACCTCAGGTCGAGAGAAAGACTTTGAGTCCTTCATCTCCAGAAATGAATTCTGCACAATGACAAAGATAATAAAGACCCGTTAGTCCTACAGATTCAGCGGAATATCGCTAGGGAAAGTCGCCCATTTGTCGACTTCTTTCTACCTTGATTGCACTCACTTTAGTTTCCATTCTTCTCAGAATATCATAAAAAAGTAAATCTCTACGAATTAATGTGAATTATGGCTACAGACGAGATAGAGAAATAGCTTACTGCATGCTACTGCCGCAGATTTCAAGTCAAACAAATATAAATTAACTGACGCATTGAGTTTAATCAAACAATTTGTGATAGACGAATGGGAATGAAGATCCTAAATTATACTTGAAACAATATAAACAAAAATAAATTGAAGTCTTAAATTGTTGAATAACATCGAGATTAACATATATTGACATTGTTCCCAAACATTATAAATTAAATAATCATAATTAATAGGTACTTGAATAATTTACTTGAAAAATAGCCAGATAGAAAACTGTAGATTAAAAAATAAAAAATGTTTAATTTAAAATGTTATGTAATAAAATTATATAATAGTAACAAAACAGTAAATCCATTAAATTTAAAATCGAGGAATATAAAGTAGATAAGTATATTCAGGGTTTTTTGTGTATGTGTGTGCATGTATGTATTTCAAATACTTTTATTTTAAATGTATTTAGTATTTGCAATACAACTCTGTGTGTGTGTGTATTTTGTATTTTGTATTGTACACATAAAAATATTTTGTATTTTATATTTCAAATCGAAAGATTAAAAATATTTTGTATTTTGTAATTCAAATAATAAGATTGATTGTCAATCTTAGTATTTGAAAAAAAGTACAAAATATTTTTAATCTTTTAATTTAAAATACTGAAATAAAAAATATACTTGTATGTGTTCCGTTGAAATACAAGATACAATATAATATGACTATATTACAAACCCTGTATTTAAGATAAAAGTTTGAAATGTCCGAATGTATTATCTCAATTTGACGAACCTATTAAATATAGTTTCACATTTTAGAAATTAAATTTAATTTCTATTATAGATAAGATCGTTTATATTGATAGAGTTCGGCAAGCAAAAATCGTCCCGAAGGACGAAGATTTATGAGAGGCCGGTTGGTTTCCGCCATCTTTGAATCACTAGTCTCCACGGAGATGGTCGGCTCGTTTCTCTCCATCCGAGCTTAAAAGTATTTCCTTGCTGTTCTCACCGCTCATTTGAACTAATAACTCGCGCGCGATCTCTCTTAAGGGAGAAGGGAGAGAGCACGACCTTGAGGGCATGACTACTTACAGGTGAACCAACCTGACGCGATGCCACAGAGAGCCGGCTTTTCCCATAGTTTTCCGGAGTAAAACTTTCGAATTTAATTCAGTTAATGTCTGCCGTAACATATTCTGGGGCTTTTAGCAAAGTTGACGCGAAAGGGGGTCAATCTCCGAGGTTTTCCTGGAGCACATGCAAATTATCGAAATGAAATAACAACGCCAAAATTGCGTTGCATCATTCTGTTAATAACTCAAAATTGAGATTGATAAGGATAAAATTAGTGTGAACACTCATGACATAAAATAACGCTTCGTTGTTTGTTATTTCGAGCGTAGAGAAAAGGTCGTATGACTCTCATTTACATTTATGTAATAATATTACATATGTAATAATACATTTAAATTTAAAAAGGAAATACGTGCAATTAAATGCGCTAAAATGTATCTTATAAAAATATTTCGAAATACTTGAAAGTAAAAATGCGTTATAATAAATGTTATCTATTGTGTATTGGCATATTAGTAATGGTATAACGACTAGCCACTAAATAAATAATTCCACAAACAATCATTTGAATTTACCACAATAGCGGAGATTAATAAAGGTCGTTTTATAATATCTACATTAACTAATATTTTCTCCTCTAGTAACAACTGTGATTTTAAATATATGCCAAGAAAATTTTACGCTTAGAAAAAATATATTAAGAAAATCGCCAACGATACGTGAAAGAAGTTTGATGAAAGCCAATTTCTATAGCTTTAAAATTAATTATTAGTCGTACAGAGATTACCGCAAATAAAATCGTTTATTAATCATCAAATAATACACACACAATTGGCGGCTCCATTATGGAATCGCTGCGCGTACAGGTTTCCAATGCAACCAGATAATGGCGTTTCGTCGAAATATAAATCTCTCGTTTGGCTTTGCCCGCGTAAATAACCGATAATTAACAACAACTGTTAACTTGAATTCTCTCCTCGTTCTCGTACATTATTTTTAAATTGTAATTTTCGTATTAATTTGATGTCTTATTTATAAGCATTATTTGTAAATATAAGTCGTATATTCCACTCATATGATATATAGAATGCAAGGATTTTAAAAACATTTTTAATATAAAAAAAATAAATATTTCTATTTTTTTTATAATAGTAGATTTTCTTATACTAGTATATATATATTAAAATTTTTATTATTATTTATTTATTTTAAACACAATGAATAGTACTCAATAAATTATCGCAATTATAGGTACATACATATAGAATTATATCGTAATTTAAAAAATAATATAACTCAGTTTTGCATAATATATTAAAAATTTATTATCGAATTTTATAGTAGAATCTTAAAGATTTATTAATTGTAAAATTTCATTTGAGTTTAATTACGTTTTATCTGAAAGTTTGTGAATAAATCTTAACTATAGTTCTTCTTTCATTTTACTTCCAATTTGAATTATTTTAATCTTTACATATAAAACTTAATCAGATCCAACTTGAAATTTCACTTTTTTTAAATCCCTTCACCGTTATATCTAAGGAAGAAAGGAATTGGAAACTTATTTGCCTTCGTCTTTTAATATATGAAATTTTAAATTTAATTTTGAAATTTTGTGATTGAACATTGATTAATTTAACTTAATTTAATTTAACGAAAATTAATTATTTGCTTTATGCTTTTGGCTAATTTTTATCATGAAATAAAATTGGAAGTAGATAGATTGGAAGTAAAGAATCGCACAATTACATGGTAGTAGATAAAATTTTATTCAATCTAGACAAATCCATCGAACCGTGACAAATCTTAATGGGACAAAGAAAAAACAGTAAAACCCTTTCTCGCAGCCCGATCAACCTTCACTAACTTGATAGACGCTACGGCGCCCATCACCGTGAATAAATAACGACAGGACTCCTCCTGCGCAACCCTCAAAGAACTGAAACCCGATAGAGAACGCAGAACAATAAGGATAGATCGTCCGATCGCGGAATACATTAAGTACAGCTCTGTGTACGGACAGTGAACAACGTTTGGAGGTAACTTCCGCGCGACGCGAGGGATGAAGGGTGAACTCCGAGGATTGAAGAAATGGCAAGGACAGCGAGAGAAATAAAAGTCGCCAAAGCTTCAGCGAGCGAGACGAGACTGTGAGGGAAATAAAAAGGAATTGTCATCGTCTGGGTGGCTGCAACCAGTCTTGTAACCGCGCTCTTACCCTTCCTCACAAATCTCCCTTCTTCCTATCGCGCTCTTTACAATCACTGTCATTTGTTTTTACGTTTACTCCTTGTCGTTCCTGAAAATTCTCCGCGAGATCTGTCGCACTGCGAGATTTCATCGAGAAAACGGGAGAGATAGAATTCTCGCGGAACCAATTATAAAGCTCTGCAGACACTCGTGAAATCTATCATTTTTCACAATGTGAATATTTATTAATGTTGTATAGCGTTCATTCATGTGATTATACCATACAATTAAGTAAATCATATTATTCTCAAGACTATAAGCATGAACAACTTTCAACTTTAGGAAATATAAAAAACACACCTTTCAATATGGCTATACACTCATTCAAAATATTTCTGAAGTATGTATGAATTAATTTTGCCACACATTTTCACAATTTGAAACAAATAAAAGTGGCACCATCATTTAACGACTCAAATTATAAGATTATATATGTAATTTACGTTACAATTTTTAAGTCGAAATTGGCCTATTTATCTTTTACCAATCAGTCTCTTTTTCTCTATCCATAATATTTTTGAATCGTTATGAAAGTATAAGGTACTTACGCAACGTCAGATTGGAGGGATTCACGATCGTCGAACAAACTCTGAAAAGTCCCAGCTTGAACTTCACACTAACTGCAGAATTCTTCGATACGTCTGGCACGGCAAGCTTTTCCTCGGTGTGAAGCCAGGTTGGACCCGAAAGAGCGACGCCGAGGGCCGCCAGCGCGGCGAGGCCGCATACCACGCCACATCCGGTCAATCTGATACCACCTGGGCCACCTGAGCAGCACATCTTCTTGTTTTCCAAATGATCTTCAGAGTGACATCGTTAGCGAATCACCTCCTCGATGCAAAGGATCCTCTTCGATTCGCCGCCCCGCCCTGCATGGCCTCGAAATCTCCCTCGATGCTGCGCCTCGACGTACTCGTCAGAATTTTACTTGACTTTTTTTCAGAGCAACCAAAAGAGCAACGTAGAGCTTTAGAGAACTTGAGAGTAATTCTTATCTCGTCTCTTCTTTGTAGCTTTAACTCAGGTCGTATTATCCCTGAGAAAAAAAATCTTATGGTTCCTCGTGACTATTTTTGAATAAATTCAGCTTTCCTTTAGCAGAAAAAAATTGAACGAAAAATTATCGTATACTGAGAAAAATGTTTTGATTTGATTATATCATTAAGAAGTATATAACGTATTCTAAGTATATAGATTTGTATATAGAGTCAGGCAACTTTCATGCTAAATTGAGTAACACAGATAAAAATCGGTTATTCGTGTTGATAAACATTACTTAGAAATATAGCTGGCTTGTTCATCTTACAACATTCAGATATTTATTTCTCATTAACTTCTTGTTAATTTTTGTTTCCTTAAATATCTTGTCATCTATTAGTTTAGACTAATCAATGTTAATACATACGAACACAAAATTAAATATATCTTCTAACAGTGGCATGAAAAATATAACATTTCATTTTAAGAAAGAAAATTAACTTTAAAATTTTTTTATCATCTCCACTTATAAAAAGATATATACACTTTGTAATAATATCCTTAAAAGTCATGCAACTTTTATATGTAATTTTTCGCACAACTTATAATAAATTTCTCGAAGTAAACAAATTAAGTGCCTCACCCTGAATAAATATTACACTAGATTACTAACAATCGTTTTATAATGAAGCCATGTTGCTATATTTAATGTATAATAGAATAGAAATCATATATGTACAAGGTGTAAAATTGCAACATATGCAACAAGTATGAAACACGTCCCAGACATTTTTCAATATTTTTATTTAAAATCAACAGTATTATCTTTTATTTATTTTGATTTAACCTCGCATATTCATATTATACACTGCATATTATCCCACAGTAAATATGGTTACCAGCATTTATTTTAAACCGTGAATTTATTAAGTGTTAGCGTAATATACAAGTAGTTCGATAGTGTTTCGATTATACTAATTAGAATTCTAATTATCGTGAATGAGAATTTCTGGTTAATTAGACTAAAATGTTTGATAGATAACTATAAATATCTTTTTGCCTTTCTAGTCAAATTATCAAATTTTCAATTCAAACAATCAAATTTTATTCTTCATGTAACTTATTTTTTTCCTGTTTATTAATCTAAATTAGCATCAAACGGGAACATGTGGTGAAATTCGAAAAAAAAAAAGTTTCCAAGAATATTGTATGTATCTATACGTGGTATCAAAAATACTAGGAAAAGAAATGCCCAAAAACTGTACAAAAAGGAAACGTTAAATTCTTACGAGAGGCGACCGTTAATGGATTTCGCGGGAAAACTATTAAAAACGCACGTTTGCTCGCTCCCTCGAAGAAATTAATTCCGATTGCCCTTATCATGGGCGGCTCAAAAAAAAAGCTCGTGGGAGCAGAGGAGGCCATTATCGCCGTCGCGTTTCCCGCGACCGAGATGGATGGCAGCGAGAGACTCTAACTTTTCTGACTTTTTCTTTCTCTTCCTCGAAAGGGCGGGGAGGCAGACTTCATGTTCTTGCACGCGTGCGTAAATAATTTTTCCTGACAGAAGAACGGGGATTTCTCGAATGAAACTTCACGGATACTTGATCTCTGATCATGAACGAGACTATGTTCTATCTAGAAATCTGAAAGAAGAAGAAACTTCTTGCACTCTCCCGTGCGTAACTTTTAAATTGGAATCGGTGAAGGATGCGTGAAAATGTTTGAACGTTATCCGATTTCGCCGCCGCAACTTGAAACCAGCGAGAGCGTATCTCTCGATCTGTGTGCGCCAATAAAAAATCGCCTACCCGCACTGACAACGAAATAATAGCAATAATTGCTTCCTGGCTCGTGCTCGGAACGAGCGGCGAGCCGCGAAAAAAAGGTATAGATACGTTTTCTAGCGCAATGTATACGTATTTATATCGACGCGGTATTAGGCGCGTGCGCGATTTATATCCGCTGCAGATGGCAGTTGCAATTACAGCGTCATTCTTTCGCTCCAAACTAATTAATTGAAAAACAGCGTATCTCATCCGCCGCGCCAGCATTTCCCGGAGGGTCCTCGACAGATTTCCGGTCTTGTTAAGAAGCAGTTTCGAGTGCTGCTTAAGTCTGTTCTACGTCTTTTTCTTCGCTCGCCCGCCGCCCACTTTCTCATTGCCTCTTCTCCCGCTACCGCTCCATTCTAAGTATCACGTAATTAAAAGTTCGAACCGACCGCGATTTGCGCCTGACGGAAACCTTCCGGTCCCCCTCCGACACTTCTCGTACGTAATCCAAAGAAGGGAGCCTGTAGGTGCTTTCTTTCTTTTTCCTTTTGTAATTACTCCTTGAGAACTTTGACCGACCGAGAGTCCAGAAATTCCATGGCAGGATTTCTGCACTCTCTCTTTCTTGCAACTAAGAAGTAATAGAGAAAAGTCCTGGCAGTTGAGCTTTTTGTCAATCCCTTTCTCGTCCATTCACAGTGTAAACACAATATAATGTGTTACGCCTATTTAATTTTCCTTTAAAAGATTAAATATATAAATCTTTATAGAAACTTAATAATGGTACTAATTAATCATTTATTTTAATTGTATTAAAAGTAGGTACTTTTAACAATACTTTCAAAATAAGTGATTATAAGCCAGTATTATATTGGCCAGTATTATAAGTATTAGATTTTTATAAGGAAATGATTTATATAGTAGATAAAATGATTTTTAAAAAGTTTTAATAATTATAATATTGGCCAATTTAACTTTAACCCAATTTTAACTTCAATAAAAAAATTTAAAAACAATATAATATATTATAAGACCGTATATATGTGATAACACAAACTATAGAAATCAAAGTAAACTGTCTAGTTGGATCTTAAATGCTTGTATAATTCTTGTGTGAATTTATATACTACGTATATAGTTCCCAGAAACGCGCGCCGAAATGATTTTTCTTGAAAAAAAGACCTAACAAATTTAAGATGTTAAAATTGCTTAAGTTATTGCATTTTCAAATATAATATTATAAATAATTATAGTAAATCTTGTGCGTGTTAAAAATAAATTCATTAAAACAACATTGTTATATTAACGCTATACAATAACCATTGTTATCGTCAGATTCACCAATTATAACAATATTTTCAAGAATAAAAAATAGTTAAAACAGTGAAATGAATTGGCTCTAGTACCGTGTCATCCTCGCCAGCTGGTTTGAAAACGCATTCCATCGACACTTCCAGAGACCAACCCCTGCCAGCCCGGATCTGTTTTATTGCGGACGCGTTCCGGTGTCGGAATATCCGGCCGAATCGAACATCAGGGGCGCGGCGATCATCGATAAAAATGGATGTCTCGTTGAACCGGAACCGGCATACGCGAACGTGCGCTTATTTTTCCTTTTTTTTTTCAATTCTCCATTTTCTGTATGTAATGGCGAGTCGCGTGTCCGCGATGTTCTTGCGATCCGTCGTGTTAAAGCCGAGTTTTTCAATATTACCGGACAGCAGGACGAAATGAATAAACGGATAAGAGATGAGAGAACATCTCGATGAAGGGAATTCATGGGAATATTCAGCTCGTACTTCGTCGGTTTAAACTTAGTTCCGCCTGGCTCGAACTGCAACGTCGGTTGCCTGAATGTGCTTGAAATTGCATAGGAGGAATAAGTCTGTATTGTCGATTTGCAATCAAGCAAAAAGTCATCGTGACACCAAAATGACGTCAAAATAGCTCAAATGATTATTAAAAGCCACTTTTCAATCCTTCATTTTAATGTCATTTTGATATTATCATGACATGTTATTCTGATACGTACATTCTGTCGTAACTCAAGGAAAACAATTTTATATTTGCTGGGCTTGATATAACTGCTCCACATAGTACGTACGTTTTCCCTGAAGTTTTCTCTTTATAAATGCTTAAATTTTTTCGATTGGATTCTCATCAGAAAACTGCGTACATTACCGACCAGTCAAAGGTCGTAATGCCATTTTCGTTCAACGGGTACAACTATTATAATTGTGAAGATATAATGAACAACAATAGAGACTGAATGGCAAAGACTGAACGACATATTAGGCAACAACGAAATAACCTATCGAATCTAAAATTGTAGGATAAAATAAAGCTATTCAATTTTAAAGATATGAAAATTTGCAGAAAAGTAACCATCCACATACACCACCAGTCACATACCTAATTACATTTCAAATATTATTGATTTCTTATTGAACATAACATAACCTCTTGTAAATATGAAAATTAACATGTAGTAAAGAAAAACAAATATCTGCTCAACTAATAAAACAAGAACTTACGAGATAAAAGCAAGTTCTTTTATTAATACAAAAAATTTCATATACTAAACAAATCCTTCGACCTAAACATGAAGTCATTATCAATGTAACAAAAACTGGTAATAAAAAGCGACATAAAATAAAAGTCGAATAACAGAAATGTAACATTTAAGAAAATGTCAACCAGCTATTAATAATATGAGAAATAAAAGCATTATTAAAACCATTTTACTGATGTGATCATTATTTCAATAGATACTCTCGCACTCCAACCTCCAATATCAATCCATTGATCAAGAAGTGGAACGGTTTTCAATTAAAACACAATTAACAATTGTAATGTAATCACAATGTTAGAGTCATGATCACCCTGCCATTAAAACGTGAAACCATTAAAAATTAGAAAGATCTTAATATAACTGACATAACATATTGAAATTGAAAAACGTTTTAATATAATATGACATTTATCCGATTATTAAAAAATAGTTATTAAATATAACGTTATATCGAGGCAAATATATCTGGCAAAAATGGCTGCTTTTTAGAAGTTCTTTTAAAAAGAATACCGCCATCCTAAACTTGCCGCTCCTGCTAAGCATAGCTTATGTTAATCTCTGTAGTGCTAATCCGAGTCTGTGTTTTATTAGTTGATTTGTAATCTTTTAAGCCTTTATATTTTCATCTTTTCATGAGGTAAGTCTTTATACTTCAAATGTCTCTCAATTCGATATCGCGACATAAACAAATAAACAAACAGCACGACTCTAGAATTCAATGCGATTGAGTATCACACTCCTATACAGCTATCACTAACGAACGGTAGCGAAGTACGCAACCGTGCTAATTAAGCATGCCTGCAAATCCAGGCACAGCTCGGTTACGGCCGAATGAGTCACCGTAAAATCGTACGAGGACGAATGGCCGAGCGCGCCGGCGCGCGACGATTTTTTTCCAGTTTCCGCATCACGATGACGAGCGATTTCCGCGTCCGCGACCTCTAATCAAACCCGATGCGACGCGACGACGGAAAAGAGAACGTTCGTTAAAATCTCGTCCAGGATTCGCGGCTGGCTTCCAACGAAGTAATTTCGGTGGTGTCGTCCCGCATATTTCCCCGGGAGACTCGTGGGAAATTACAAATTACACGTTTTTCAATTAAAAAACGGCAAGTCGCGTTCCCGCCAGGAGATGCCAGCGCAAATTTCGGATCCTCGATCGCAATCGTGCATTATAGATGATCGAAACGAGAGAGAGAGAGAGAGAGAGAGAGAGAGAGAGAGAGAGAATGAATGAATGAGAATGAAGGGGAAGGAATAGAAAGAGGGAAGGAGGAGGAGAGAGGGGAGAGAGAGGGGGGGAGAGAGAGAGAGAGAGAGAGAGAAGAATGCAATTTAAAACGATTGCGTCGCGCGGAAAAATATTTGCTTCGCGCAAAACAATTCCCGTCGCGCGGGAAAATATTTACTTTGCATTAGAACGATTTTGCGGTAGACGAATGTTTTAACGTTTCCGAGAGGCATGCAGTAGTTTTTTTAAATACTGTGTTAGAGGATGTATTTCCGTGTAATGTAGATTTATTGTACGCATGCACACGAAACATTCTCCTGCATCGTGTAATTCTTTATAATAGAATATCGTATTTATTCTGAACGCATTGCGGCGGTATTTTGTATAGTGAATAAACATTGGCTGTTTAACGCCATTACATTTTGCGAAATACAGCTTTCTATTTTCCTTGTAATAATTGCGGCATTAAAGAAATACGGACGAGTACTCCACGCCGTTGAGAAAATATTTAAAATCTGATAAAGCGAAAAGTTCTGAAAACGGAGGGACTGAAAATTTGCGGTTCGGCGGCACATCCGTAATTCAAACCGTATTGTACATCTCTTTGAAGTCATTACCGACGTGTCAGTGTCAGACGATCATTCCTCCGAACAGAAAAAGCGGAGAGCGCTGTGCGCGATATTTTTCTACTGTCACGAGCGATCGCTCGTCCTAAATCCTGGACAGAATCATAGAGTTCTGGTGAATAGCGGTGAGGACCAGAAGATGTGCTCTAACCTTCACGATTATATGAGAAAATTCGATGTTTCTAATATATCCGAGGGTGCTGACGTGACTTGAATATACAAGAAAACCTGTTTAATAATGACTCTAAATAACAAATTTTGATCAACAAGTAATATAAAATGTTTCTTATAGGAATTAAAAAAAGACTTACTTTTTAAAAAAAATTCCTCATCCTGCAATTTTTATATAGAAATTTTACTTTAAATTTCTTATATATCTAATAACGCAAATGTATAATAGAGTAACATAGTTACATATAATTTATATATATATGTGATTATACGTTTATATATTTTTTTACAATATATAAACATAAATGTGGTGAAGACATTTTTATGACTTATATACAATTTTAAGTGATATATTAAAATAATATATTGAAAGATATATTAAATGATATATTAAAAGAAATATAGCCAGTTTCTTGTGGAAATTGGACTCTAGGTAAACAATATTGAGACATGGAGGGTGAAAAAAAAAGATCAAAAATATTCCACTGGCACAATCTTGTAAAATAACTTCTCTGTTGTAAGTGCTAGAGAGCTATTCAAAGTTTGCTATTATAAGTATGTGTACGTATATTATACCATTACTGGTTTTATCTTATTTCTCTTCGTTCAGGGCTGATTTCTTCGCGATACTGGATAACGACGATACTGGATTGTTACCAAAGACGTAATGTCTGAAATTATTTAATACAGTTCATTAATCCGGCGAAATCCCTGAACGCGATCTATTCCGTCATGTAAGAGAAATTCAGATATGATTGTAATGACAGCGATGCCTCTGGAGTTCGTTCTGAGAGAAGGAAAGAAGAAGATGAACAAGCGATGAAAATGTACTAATTAGAGAAGACATCCATGCGCTAGCAAAATCAATTAAGAGGTTTGTTTCTCAAAGTTTGTTTTATCGATTGAATGCAATAATTTTCGTAGAACGATATTATATATGTTACTTTTGCAGGTTTGGAAATCCTCCAGAATTAAAGCATTAAGGAGATCCTAAAGACGTCTGTTTTACCGATTGAACGTTTAATTTTTGTATAACAATTGCTCTTTCTTTTTCAATTGCTTGCTCTTTTATACATGATCTACAATGTACAGTAACAGTTGATTAAGGAGTAGGCGTAAAAATCGACCAATCATAGTTGATTATTTTTCTCACATTTAACTATGATTGGTCAGTTTCTACGGCTATTCTTTAATCCACTACTGCCATTGTAGACCATGCATTACAGATTCGAAAATTCTTTTCTAAGATTAATTAATACATATCCGTGAAGTGGAGTTTATATAGAGTGAACGACCGAAAATTTCGAAATGAAAATCTACCATTTCTTATTGTTAATTCAATATGGCACTCTAAAGTTGTCACATCGTGTCAACATTTGCTTGATATAAAAGCTGTGCAATTTGTACCTACGAAATAGTAGTCCATAGGCTAGTAGTTTGCACGAAAAAAATAACGTGAAGTTTTAATAATTAGACTTAGACGGCTGATTAAAACGCTATTGTTATACGAAAATTTATATATAAATGTGTGTGAAATATTGATATAGTAATATGCAGTTATGTATCAATGACACGTCAATCGTCTGTGTATAAGTTCTACTTAATCGGTAAAACAGATGGATAATGAAACTTTCTTAATCTTATATTCCTATTCAACAGATACAAATATGTAAGAATCATCATTCAGGTGGTAAAAAATGGAAATGTTGTAAATTACTATAATATAGAAAAGATTTCTGTCTTCCCCTAATGGATTTTTGATTCATAAAGGCAGATCACAATACCTACATGTATAGAAAGATCTGACTAAAGATAAAATAAAGTAATCATTGAGAAGTGTTTTGGATATACCAATAAATACACGCAAAATGCATTCTTGATTAGAATTATGATATCGAATTTATGGTTTCTTGACTAAAATATTTTTATGGTTATCTCGACTAAAATATTTTATAGATTTAGCTATAAGTATCTAAATTGATATTTCTGTTTAAATCTACTAAATTACCAATTTATACTAACAGATTTTTTTTTAATTCTAGGATAAAAAAAAATACAAGAACGATTAAAATACATATTTGCACGAAAAATTAAAATTTCGATACAAATAACAAAATGTGTAAAACAACGCAAAGTTATCAAAATTCGAGTTAAAAACAGATAAACTTAAAGATTTGAATATGTCCAATCCAAATCAGAATATATCGTACAAAAATGTTTCATATTGGTTTTCCATAACAGAAACTATTACAAAAATATTAGAATTTTACAGATACATTGAATGCTTTAAAATACAATATTTTGAGAATTTAAGGAATCAAAATCCTAAATATGAAAAAATCTAAGAAGAATCAGGAACGTAAAATAAATCTCCTTCATATTATTCAGTGTTTGAAAATAGCTAAGCTTTTTTGGTTTCAAGAATCAGAAGAGTGACGTAATCTTAAGATCACCAATTTCGGAAAAAGAATTTGAAGGAGTAAAGAAAAAAAACGATCATACAGGGTTAAGTACCTTGGAAAAAGAATTTCAGATAAATTTAAAGATAGACCCGAAAATTGCAAACAATTGGTAGGTAAATATTTGAGAGAAACTGAGGCAAACGA